GGTCTCATCCATCTGCCCAGAATGTTTAAGCGCACGCAATCCACGTGCTTTATGCGCGCAGAGCGTGGATATATATGCGGCTCGCTCCCCGCGAAAAGATATATACGCGATACAAATGAAAAGGTTTCGCTATATAGAAATGTTGATGCTTTTTTTCTTCGCGGAATCGCGAGCAGCGTGCGCGCAGACAGAGCGAAGGTACCCCAGATACTTTTACTGCGAGCTGATATACACTATGATTACTCGCGATTCCTCGCGAGTTGGGCTCTCTTTCTGCCTCTTTTTCATCTTATTCATAACTCGAAAGGTTCAATTTTACGATTCCCGAGATTCTTACGTTTTTACCAAAGCTTTCTTGTGTGCCTCTCTGCACGCGAGCAGAAATCGAGTAATCTGTTATCCAGAGAGAAAGAGAGAGACAGAGAGCTCTATATGTAATAAAAACGACGATAAAAAAAAGTAAGACGAGCTACGGAGGCCGCGCGCGTACATAATTGGATAATTGTTGCTGAATACGTGTGTATACACGGCAGCTCGGAGAGATTTTTTGCAAACGCGCGCAGCGCGCATATCGAGCATAAATACTCATTTTCAAAGAATGCAAATCGAAAATTACGAGATGTAAGAGGTGTATCTCGAAATAAGATGCGTACGAGCGTGAAGACTACATTTTCAGTATATTAAAGCAGCAACTGAATAGAAATACGCATTTTTATTCGAGGAATTCTGGTTCAAATTTAAACTGCTTGTATGCATTGATTCGCGAACAAAAACGAAACGAATTTAAATCAATAATATTATTGTAACTGCAGTTAAAGAGCGAGAAGAAAAAATAGAGAATGGAAAAACCAACAATGGCAAATAATGGCTTTTGACGAGCTGAACAACCAGCCCAGCACACAATTAAAAAAAAAACAAAAATCACAAGCTTCCTTAGTCAATAACATTGTCCGATTTCGAAATTCGCCATCGAGCCATAAGGCAATGACTAAGTGAAAAAAATACCCTCACGTGTGTGTTCGAACGAACAACTAAACGAACCCGTGGGTTCAAAGTACAGTGGTCGCCGCTTAAGAGAATTGCGCTTAATAGAATACGCCGGTTAAATGAATCAAAAATCCTAACAATGATTTTCCCGTATCCTTATACATGTAAAATTCACCGCTTAAGTGAATAAACTTTTCGCTTAATAGAATCAAATTTAGTTTGAAGACGATGTTTACATTCAATGTTGTTGTCGATTAAATACAAGTTTCATTGTCAGTACTTTCTCATAGCACCGTCGGTATTACATGCTCATAATAATTAATTGTGTTAGTGATACAAGTATGAAAAAATCATCAGCTATAGTNCTACATCAGATCAAAGAAGCTTGGTCTTATGTATCTAGCGAAACGATAAAAAATTGTTTTAGAAAGGCTGGGTTTGTTAACGGAACTAATGAAATATGTAATATTTCGAGCAACGTTAGCTTGAACGAAATTTATCCGGAAGATATGACACATGAGGTTTTTGACGAGTGGATAGATATTGACGAATGTCTAGAAACCTCTGGAAAGCCAACAGATGATGACATATGCCAAAAATTGGACACAGATGAATCAGAAATTGAAGAGGAAGATGATAGTATAGAACCCGCACCTAATAATCTAGAAATGTTTAACGCATTACAAGTCTTGAGACGAGGAGTTCAACATCGTTCGAAATCCTTTGAAGAGTACTACAAATTTGAAAAATTTATTTTCAAAATAATTGACCAAAAGAAAAAACAAACCAAGATAAATGACTATTTTACTAAATTATAATGGTGTCACATATGATTTGAATAAATATTTAATAATAAATAATTTATTATATAAATTATATATATATATATATTCATTTATAATAATAAATTATTTATTATAATAATGCATAATTTCTCGGATTCAAAGTTATTTATAAGTTATTGCAATCCCTATCGGATAGTAGAATCATCCGCTTAATAGAATGAAAATTTTTGTCACACAGTGATTCTCTTAAGCGGCGACCACTGTATCTCTTTACATCGTATAGGACTCTAGAAAGAAGAACAAAAAATTTCAAACCAATCAAGGATAAAGAGTAGGACGAGAAAAAATTATTGAGCATTAGAATCTATGCTGGTTCGATAGTAACCAGAATTACATAAAAACAACGAAGTTTGGTTGTGTTGTGTAAACTAAAAAATAGGATACTTTTAAGATAGAACTACAGAAGTTTAAGTGTTACAGGAATTCAATAAATGCTTGTGCAAACACAAATCACTACTTCTGTATTAGTTTAGACTGCATTGGGACTTTATTAATGAAAAAATATTTCGTCTGTTCAAACAACTGCTAAAACATGAAACCCTTCCTACACTCCATCATAACGAAGGACATCATCTAAAAAAAAATTCATACATTTTAGTCATACGTAATCATTAAGTCATCGTAGTTCAGTCACACTGCTTATCTTTCTCATAATGGCACTTATAAATTAGCGAACAGCGAGTAAAATTACAATTATTTTTTGTCATTTTTCACGTACTACAACTGTAATCGTATCTAAAATTACACGTACAATTTTTGACTAAATATTTGCACCTCCAACTCGTTATCTCTTTCGTAGTCTCTTTTAAATTATCTCCAGTAATGCTAAAAGACCAGAGCGTGTATATAACCTTCGTTATCGTATAATAAGATCATTTATTTCCTCATGCATCCTTACAAATCGTTCGTCGTTGCCATTATTTTAGCAATTAATGAAAAATATGGCCTTATTGTCGTAATGGATTATTACGTACGGGGTAAAAAAAAAACTTCGTTGAATATAATTAATAACGAATGAATTTATGGATTAATTTAAGCCTCAATCGCAATTTAGCAGAAATTTGCAGTCGCTCGTTCGCGCCGCGGGATGGGAATAACTAAAAGCCCGAATGTTATAATGCCGTACAGCTGTTCTAAAGCAGGCAGCGAGCATAGAATGATATTCCTCATCTCTCTCTCGCTCGCTCTCCGGTTCGTCTTGAGATTTTAATTAAATTTGGACACTGATCGTGATTAATGATAATTTTTCGACCGCGCTCGACGCGGCGCTTAGTCATGCCCATCTCTTTTGTGAGAGCCCCGTGCCCGAGCCAAGTAATACATGACTATTTTATCTCTCGTTAAATCTTTATAAATATTTCTAAAACCATTTTTTAACTTATTTTTCTCGTCGTTATTTTAATTTGCAGACGATTACGTTAGTACATGTAAACAGCGTGTTCGTATAAATTCAAATTTTAACCTTTTCGCGTTATCACATAGAGGTATCTGTATCTGTAATCGATCACGTATTAGTCGATCACCTATCACGTATCGTCACATCTACTTGAATTTACTTTACTCTTTTATGCAAGAACACTTTACGCTAGAATTTTTGGTTAGAGAGACAAAAACTCACATGATTGGAAAAAAGTTTTTTTTTGCGAAAAAAACTCAATGTCTTTCATTTGACCTTTCTCGCATTTTCACAAATAGAAAAAAGGAACACATGTTAATTAACATGTTCAATTACCGAGTCATTTGCAATATATCTCGTTTAATTAATGAATTTACCATTTTTTTGAAATCACATATTTTCTTTTTGATTATTTTCAATAATATTAAATTAAAATTATTGCTCTGGAAACCTTCATTTTTGCGTATGCAGCGATTGCACGTCCGATGACCACAGGAAAGAGGATAATTAAATAAACGAGCTATTTGCACACAAGCGCGACAATGGGTTAAAAGGACGGAAAACTTGTTGGCCCTGCGTGGTGGTGGTCGAGGCGCACTAACTCTTTTATGCTTGCGCACACATACGATAGGACTCCGGTACATGCATATAAAGGTGCAAACACATACACAAACATTGGTGCACAAGTCAGAAGAATCTATACGGGTGCGAAAACGAGTTGGATGACATCGGTTTGAAAGTATAAATATAGTAGAGCTGCTCGCTGCACATAGCCGTGCGCGCGCGCGTATAAGCAGCGAATTAATGAGATTACTTTCTGGAGGGCTCGAGACGACGACGACGAGCGAGCGAGCAAGCGCGAGCAAATGAGAAAACCAGTGATTGGATACCGGAAAGATTATAAAGCCTGTAATTAAAAGCTGGTGGCTTTGTTCACCTCCTTTCCTTCCTCGCTTGCTAGCACTGGCTGTACTCTTTCGGTCTGGGCTATATAGAGCTGCTGCTGAAAATTACACAGCTATTATAATAGTAAATTAAGAATAAGTTCAGCGAGGCCACGAATGGGACAGATTCAGCCAGGTGTGAATTTTTGACCAGCAGAGAGAGAGAGAGAGAGGGAGAGAGAAAGATGTTTGCGCGTGTAGAATTTCAAGTGTGTTCTCGCTCTCCCTCTCCTTTCTCTCTCTGTCCGTGGCTCGTTGAATATAACTTTGTGCGCGCACGAGTTCAGAAGGAATTGGATTTCTTGAAAATGCACGAGACATTAGGACTTTGTAGAGATGCAAGCCCACGATATAATCGGCATCTCTCTCTCTCTCTCTCTCTCTCTCTCACTCTTGAGAGAGGACTCTCAAGTCGTCGTCGTCGTCGCGCTCCGAAGCGACAAAGGGAGAAGGAAAAAAAATGAACATGCGGGCGGTACGCGCAGCAGCATTTTCGCTGATGCCTAGTTTCCGAGAACGAGGCCAATCTGTATAAGAACGTGGAAGAGAGAAAGAGAGAGATGCCAAGCGGGATTGAGAAGGTTACCATACAGCTTATTATTTAATATATTTTTTTTAACAGAAAAAAGGATATTATCCTTGAGTCTTAATGAGAAGTTAAACAGTTTTCGGATCTATTCATTAATACCGTGTTTAGTTGAAGTGATCGATTTTGCCCGAAATCGCCAGCTCGCAATATTATAGACTTTTCTAGCCTAACATATATACTGAAACTTCACATAAAAAGTTGACGTAAATTTTTTAAACGATTTCTCATAATTGTTTCAGATTGCCGGACAAGCGAGTAGTGGCCGTCGTCTCGAGCAGTTAGGACCAACAAAGAGCTGAAATAGCGGCGGCATTAGAGGGCCGTCGTTGCTGGGGACAAGTGGAGAGTTGTTTCTACGGCTACAACATCCTCGTGCCCGAGTCCACGGCGCGTTGGGCTCCCCCAGGGGCCCGCGCCCCAACGCCCACCAAACTGGCGAGTGCCTTGGCAGCCGCCGGTATGAACCCCTACCCCCATCACGCCTCGCTAGGGGGCAGCCCGCACCATCCGCCGCCGGGTTCAGGTTCAGCCGCAGCTGTATCCAGCAACACAGGGCCGCCCGGTTCCGGTGGCGGTGGCGGAGGCGGCGGTGGCGCCGAGCCCCCGAGCCATCACGGCTACGGCCAAGCGCCGAATCCTGGACAGGCGGCGGCCGGCAACGGCCCCGCGACGACGCCCGATCATCCTAGTCCGCACTCGCCACCCTACGGGGCCGGTCCCCAGGACGGACCGGTGCCGCAGGCTTACCCACCGCACCCGGGCCAGCCCCAGGGCATGAATTCCAACGGGCACCATCACGCCGTCGCGGCGGCGCAGGCTATGATGCAGCAGCAGCAACAGCAACAGCAAGAGCAGCAGCACAGGCAGCAACAACAGCAGCAGCAGCAACAGTATGGCCAACATCCGCATTTACCGCCACACATGACTGGATATCCGCCGGTCAATCACAACAATAATTGCACGCTCAAGGTAAGCCCTCGATAGTTTGTGAAATAGTCGAATCATGAATATGAAATCCGAACGAACTCTTTTACTGCTCGGTTCTATTAAAATTTCATTCCGCTCTCCGACTAATTGGCCCTCATTTGGCATGGAACTCGTATTCAATGAAAATCAGCGCCGATTTTCCTCGTTCACGGAAAAACGCCCGAGCTCTCGCTTATAATCCAAACAGCCTAACGAAATGCAACAGGCGTGAATTAATAAACGTATAAACACATATATATACACGCATTAGGCTCGCGCTCATGCGATCGGTTCTCTCTCGCTCGAGTCTTTTTGCATGCGCGAGCTCGACGTACGTACGCAGCGTATAATGAGATGCAATTCAACGATAAGCCATGGTATAGCCCCGCGTGAGCTTGCTTATACGGTCAACTTTCTATATCTAATGCTCGTTGTGCACAACACGCTGCGCTCGCGCGGATCTACTATATTAAGCGCCAGTTTGTGAATGATAGCTGCCGTTGCCGTTGCTGCTGCTGGCCATGAGAGAAAGTTGCGGCCGGGCAATCGCAAGTGGCCTTATACGTATAAGCAAGCTTTAACAAAAATCATTTAATGAAACTCTTTTAACGCCTTAACACGCAATTTTACAATTAATAATATTCCCTGTGATTTTCAATTTAGAACACGAGTACATTATGACGTGAGTATCGAGGTCAGCTAATTTAAAATTCAACGCAAAGTCGAGATAACGTTTGACTTTTTTACTCTCGTCAAGTTCAAGTGACTTTAATTCGATAATAACCCAAAAATTCTATATAGCGTAATATGGGTTGTCCGTATATATTGAGCATACGTGACAGTAGTAAACACTAAATACAATACATGCATTGGCACGCTCTGAGCTCCTATTTTACTTGATTTAAATTTTCTACTGAATTAGAGTCACTCAGGTGCATGCAGATATCTTTGACACACGCACACACGTCATATTATCGAGGTGAAAATATTAGAGATTGTGAATATAATAACAATAATAAAAAGAGGCGCGTCACGCGATGAATCGCGAGAGTCCGATCATATGAATGGATAAAGCGCGAGCAATAAAAATCTCCAAATACCCCGCGTCCCCACTCCACCTTTCGCTCGATTCTCGCCAAGGAGCCTCCTCGCACCCGCGATGCATATATGATATACATGGCTGCATGTTATATATGCTCTCTTCCGCCTCGAAGCAAATTGATTTCTTGGTGCGATAATAGTATCCCGAGAAAACGTGAAAGAGTTTTGCGATGATATAAAGAGTGAAATAGAGAGAGACAGAAGTGTGTATATAACGAGGGAGTATCATGTATACGCGAGCATACATACACGCGCGAAAGAATATTCTTAGATGTTTATACACGCAGTAGACTGGATAATCTACTTTTACTCTTTCGTGAATCGCTCGAGGATGACGAGAAAATCAGCTTCGCTTTCGCGTCGTTTTTCCACCGACGAGAGCTGCTGCAATAAGCAAAACGCGTGCATGATGTATGGGGATACCTGCGAAAGCGATACCTATGATTAATGAAATTCTCGCTTTTGATTATCGTGGCATTAATGTGCATTTTTCTTTTATTCGTATTTGAAACGATGAAAATAAAATAGTTTAAAATGTGGTTTTTGAGAAAAGATCGGCTTGAAAGAAGCCAAAGAATTGTACGGAGTAGACACATGTGGAGCCGAAGCTCCAAGGCATTCTCTTACATAAGAAAGTTATTGTATATTTTCGTGCACACACATGCATGGCGCACAACTTTATGAAGGGTGAACCCAATGTATCTAAGGAAAAATTCCACGGGGCCACGGGAGCCTTTAGCGGACTCTCGAGCCTTCCTACATGTCCATTGATAAAAGCGTACAACAATACGGCCATTTACCCCTGCTATGTGTGTGTGTGCATGTGTGTGCACAAGAAAGAGACAGAGTAAGAGCGGGAGAGAAAACGAAAAAATATAATTGAATAATGCGAGCGACACACATACACCATTATATTAAATACACACACGCATGACGCTGCTACTGCTGTTTGCTGCACATAGAACAGCGGTATTGCCGGTAAAATATACCCACATGTATATACACATAACACAAAAGAAAAAACATAACTTCCCCTAAGTTCTCACTCTTCTGGCAATGCTGCTCTCCCCCCTCAGCCGCCCCACCCTTTATCCACGAGCTAGGACACTTTTTATTCACTCTCTGCCCCACTCCACGCGGTCGAGTCGACTCGACTCGCGAGATCCGTGCTCTATTCCGCGATTCTCGGCACAGAGGGGGAAGACGTACCGAACGCACGCACACTCGCTCTCAAATATACATAATGTATGTGTACGTGTGTATATATAGAGAACGAAGGGGCCCGAGTGCCTCTGCTGCTGCTGCTGCTCCCCTCCACCTTTCAACTTAGTAGCTTACCTGTTGGCCGTTCCTTTCTTACAACATATACGAATACACACAGCCGTTTCAGTTGGGCCTTGACTCTGGTCGCGGTGGCTTAGCGTCGCTCGAGCTCTCATTATCTTTTGGTTTTTTTTGTTTTTCTACCGAATTGATGAGTTGCTTCTATCTAGTTCCTGGTGTTATTTACCGGTGTTATTGTATTCGTGCGTGACATTCTGTCTGTCATCGCGTTGCTCACGTCAAAAAGCCTATCACTTATGAAAACAAATCCATTTCGGAGTTTTTAAAGTGGGCATCACGAAGAGAATATGATCAAGCCGTACTAGGTCGCGCGTGCGCATTCGAGGCAAACAGTCTCGTTGCTCCTCTGAAACGCAGAGTGAGGATAACAGCATCGTGATATAATTTTGTGGTTGTTCAAAATTGATGTGCTTTGATGTGCATTTGTGTGTTTGTGATTTAAAGTGAATTTGATTCCGTGGTTGTAGTTGTTGTTGTTGTTCTGTGTCAAGCAAAAAGTCAAAAACTACAACAGCTCAATATGACCAGCATGGATCTGCAGCATCACTTCAACATGCCGCAAAGGATGCATCATCATCAGATGAAATGCTTCCCAGGCGACAGAATTGTAAGCAAAATTAGTGCTACAAAACTAGTGCAGAAGGTGAGGTGTTCGGGCAACATAAAGTTCGTGTGTGTCTTCTTTTTTTTTTTTTTTTTAATTGTTCTTTTCCTTCCTATTTATTTGAGCAACAGTTGTGTTTATCGCGAGCGAATGGAAAAAAAATTATAAAAATATGCTCACTCGAGGTAAGAAAACAACAAACACATTTGCAACAGTGACGAACAGTGCGTGCGAGAAAATATCGCCAAACGATTTCCACTTGTGCACATTTACCGTGACAAGTTTTGCATTAGTTTATTTGAATAATAATTGTGCGCAAGGACTTGCTTAATCGTTGAATGACAACACAGCAAACAGCAGCAGCAGCAAATTGAAACTAAGATTGCCGAAGCGTGATGACAGTTTTAAACGCGCGCACACACATAAACAACACACAATCGATTACGTGAATATCTTTTTCCAATCGCGTTTCTCAGTTCCTCTTTTACGAAAGATATACGTTCATAATGAATCATACGAATCAAATCAGGAAATGAAACGGCATTTTATTCGTTGTTGTTTTTTTTTGTACTGCTGCCGCCACCGCCGTCGACGCTGCCACGGTTGCTCTCTCTCTCTCTCTCTCTCTCTCTCTCGCTCTTGCAAGACTGTGCCGTGAGCGCGTGCCAAATGCAATCAACTGCCGCCGCGCGTTTACTCCGTAATATTCATTCAATTAAAAAATTTCCCCGCGTGTGCTCCACCACCGACTATAACGACGTCGACGACGGCGATGCTTCGTCACTTCGAAATTAATATTTTGCTCGTTGACAAACGAAATATATTAAAAATAACGTAATAAACGAAAGTACCCCGCGCGCACATTAACGCAATCTCTGGTAATGAGATTTCGTGCATGCAGCCTCCCTCCCTCTTCCCCCCGGTGTACGAACGATTGCGCGCGAACACATGCACACACGTGTCACCATGCCTTGCGTTATACAGTGTGTGCAACGAGTTTACTTGAAAAATGCATTCGCACAATAATTATCAACTTTCGGCGAACGAGATTAGCAATAAAATCAACCAATAAAGTTCGAGGGATAATTATTTACGGGTATACTCGTCGCGTTTGATATACGTGAAGTAGTAACACGGCGTATAAAAGATTTTAAGCAAATTGCACATATATTTCATTAAAAACAAGCCCTCGGTATTTTGTCACCGCACGCAATTGTTCAATCATCGAATGAAACTTTCGGTAAAAAATAGCCTGCTACAACGCACACACGTACACACAAAAAACACACGCATGACGCGCGAGCAAAAAAATCTTTTCAATATAGCAAGTATTGTTTTTTTTTCGCCCGATTCCGAGATTTATAGCCACTTACGTTGATTATACTGGAATGAGATAAAAGTATCGTAAAAATTACTTTACATTTTAGTGCAGTAGAATCCCTACTATTCACTTTGGATATGTATATGTATAGGCGCGTGCGAGAGCTAGAAGTGAACGAGCATTCGATAATTGGATATTGCATAAGACAGCTATGAGCATCGGCCATAGAGCGTATATATATATTTTACGAATGTTTTAAAAAAAAATCATTTATATATGTATACGCGCTGCGTGAAGGATGATGCGGAGCTTAGCACGCTGCGCGAAAATTTAAATGCGACCCACGACTGCGTGTGTAATTAGCATATTTATATGCCGAAAGAAATTTCTTGTATAACGCTAAAACACAACTCCGAAAATGCTTGTCAAATGACATTTGCCCCAGGAATCATGTGTGTGTGTCTATGCTAATCCACCGCGTCTAGAGGGGAGACATTTTATACGTGTTTAAAATTATTACGCGTGCGTGCAAAATACCACGGCGAACGTACATAACCTCGAATGCGAGACCGATACCACGCTTTCTGCACAAGGAAAACTTTAATAAGTGATAATCGATGGAATGCTTTTTTCACCTGTACTTTTGTAACGCGTTGATCGGTTACTATTACGGTGTTTTTGAATTTAATAAAGATGCCAACACGGGCGTAAAGCTTTTAATTATATAGTTTTCATCGAGGAAAAAAAATATTAATTCATCCCGCCCATTAAAAATATTTTTAATTGACTAAAATATATCGCAGTTGGAATTTCGTTGTTAATTGATGCAATTAGAGTCTACGCGTTAATTTTTCTCAAAGAATACGATTTTTTTCAGCATCCGCTCAACATCACGGATCGATTGTGAAATACTTCACGTGATTGATCGTTCTTGAGATTATTGTTTCATTACACGCGGAAACACACGCGCCGCAGTCATTGACGCAAGCAAAATGCGTAAAGTCCATAATAATTTGTTGTCTCTTTCTCTCTCACTCTCGAGTAATAGCAACAGCAACAGCACGCTGAAAATGCGGAGCAAACACAATCATTCAAAGTTCATTATAAAGGCCAGGCGCGCGCGCGCACGGCACGGCGCGTGCCATTAATGAGAGAGACAATTAGGCGACACGAGCGCTCGCGCACGCGGGGAGGAGGAGAGGGTGTGACAAGTGCACGTGCAAACAAATTTATTTTGTCTGCGCACCACGCGCTCGAGCAATGCGTAATACTCGTTATAATTAAACAAGCGCGAGCGAATTGTTCAACTTGCATTTATAGTTTTTTTTTTCTTTTTTTTTCACCTAACGGGCGAGCGAGCGCGCGCGCAAAAATTCATTCCATGGCGAGCAGCTAGCAGAACTCGAGTTATGATAATGAAAATGACACGGCTCGCGAATCGAGCAGAACGTAACGCACACGCACCGTTTTGTATATTATTGTTGTGCGCGAGTTTAAATGACGTGCCTCGGCTGCTGCTACCACTGCTGCTGCCGCTGCTGCAAATAGTACAGGATTATAATCTCATCCTTGATGACTGTAACTATACGACGACGATGACTATGATAATAATCGTGGGCTTGTGTGTCCCAGCGCATATTCTACAGTTTTTCTGCTGTACATTTTTTTTCTTCTCTTTTTTTTCGTAAGTACTTATTACAATGCACGCACAGTCGAGAAGTATATATTATAACATTGAAGTACCGAACGAAACCAGATCTCCCAGCAGCAAGTTTTATACGACAATGAAAATAGTGAAAACTTTTCAAGTCGAATCTTTTCATCGAGAACCAAAAACCATATTACGATTTTTGCCGGAGAAGAAACTCACCTTGAAGCTCGTACATAGCGATTCACGTTGCATACAGGCAGTTATAACAATAATAATATATAGACGTGCGGCTCATGTTTTTGCGGCAACGGCTGCGCCATTAACAATATGAAAGTCTATATAATAGACGAGCACAATTAGACTTTCACTAATGAGTATAAGAAATAAGTCGAGAGAATCCTCTCCCAAGCGGCAATATAGCAGCGCAGCAATTTTACAAATCTATCTTTCATAAAAATAATCTCATGCTTTAATATAAGTATTTATAAAGTAACGAGCAGCCAAGAATGTTGACTAATCCATCTCTCTCTCTTCTTTTTTTTTCTTTATCCACACGCAGCAGGAGGGAGGCTCGGTTATGTCGACGAACATACAGCAATGCGGTGGATGCGGTAACAGGATCGTCGACAGGTGGCTATTGCACGCGCTCGATCGCTATTGGCATAACAATTGTCTCAAATGCACGTCGTGCGGACTTGCGCTCGCCGAGATCGGACCGTCCTGCTACGCCAAGGGCAACATGATTCTCTGTAAAAACGACTACACGAGGTAAGTGTGCGCTATCCAAAAATTTTACCATTACGATTCCTTCCTTTTTTTTCAAGTACTGGCAAATTGTTATTACGTATATACCGATGTAGGTATAAGATAATGTCTTAATCTCGCGCGAAGCTATATAGAGAGACTTTTTATATATTTAAACACTCGTTCGACTCGAATGGTCAGAACTGCAAAAGAGTCGGTCGTCGCGTTGCTATAATATAAAAGACACGAGAGATCAAGCGAATCTGCAGTACGGCAGCGGCATTGATCGCAAAAAAACACACCCGATCGAGGTCGATTTCACTTCAATCGTCTGCGTGCACCGCCGCGATGACGGCGACGTGACGTTTCAGCGCGCGATTGCAATAGATCCACGTTTTTTTCCGCCTCATTGAAAATAGATTATGCAGATCGATTATTCACTCGTTATGCTATAACACACTGGTCTTTGGGCATATTACACACTGCTGTATATATGTACGCTTTACAGTCACTGACGCGCTGGTAATTGTCCTTAGTCGGCTGAATAAATGGCAAGTTGCGTGAAAGAAAGAGAAAGAGAGAAAGAGGAAGAACGAGCGAATGAGAGTAGTGTATACGTATATGTATGTGCGCGCGGAGCATGCAAAAGTGAGTATATAAGGGATTGGATATAGTAAGGTATAGCCTGGCGGACGCTTTAGGGGAGTCAAAAGAGAGAACAGTTCGTTTCTTTCGGATTCAAGGAATGTTTCAATCAGTTTGATTGAAGGGCTGAGAGAGAGAGAGAGAGAGAGAGAGAAGCGAGCGTGCAAGAGGGTAAACTCAATTTACCATCAGAGAGGAAGAAGGGGATGCTACTGCCTGCTGGCGCTGTGCTTGGTGACGACGACGACGACGACGGCGAATGCGACGAGGAGAGCTGCCGCCGCCGCCGCCGTCGCCTCGTCGGTGGGGAAATGCCGCTGCTGCGGTGGACTGGAAGTAGTTCGTTTCGAGTGATGGGGTAGGGGGCACCACAATCACCGCGGGTAGATGCGTCCAATCACTCCCTACACACATATACACATGCGTATGAACGTGTATAGCCCCTTAAAGTTTCTATATACATCTAGCCTATATATCTATATCTATATATATGCGTGTGTGACTTGGAAATGTACGTGTGTGTATTATATGTGTGTATGTGCGAGAAAGAGAAGCGCATCAATCGCGTCGTCTCTCTGCCTCTGCTGGCCTAGATGTGCAATCAGACCCGATTCTCTCCGTCTCTCTCTCTCTCTCTGTCATCGTCGTCGTCACGATTATGCCAACGTCTGTCTTCCTCCTTTCTCTCCCTGCACACGCTTCTCTCTCCTGGCCGAATACCAAATTCCAGCAATTTGGGAGTAGTGTATGCATGAAGAGGTGGAGAGATAGAGAGAGAGAGGGAGAGAGAGGAGATGCGCGGGGGGTACACTTTGTTGAATCAACATGATTGGGCTCGACTCGCGTGAACACAGGTTGTATATGTATGCAGGCAGACGGGGTTGGGACACGAAGCGACGACGACGACGATGACGACGTGCCCCGTCGTCTTCTCGTGCCGCTTCTGCTGCTGCTTCGTTTCATTCCTGCGGGAAGGAAGAGAAAGATAGAGACAATATGCACGTGGCTTTTTCGTGCTTTCTGACAAAGCTCGCGTGCGCGCTCTCATAGGTTTGTATGCACACAAGCGCACATACATTTAATCGTCTATACGACTCCAAGTAGGCAAGATAAATAATCAATTACTACATCGTTGTGAAACATTGAAACGTGCGTCGCGCGCGACTTTAGCGATGTTCAATTTCGAAATGGATATGTAATGGAGACACTTTACCGAGATCCAGTGCAGCGATACAAATTTAATGTAGAAATACTGCCATAAATTAATTCCTTGATATCAACTGAACGAGAAAAAAATGTGTGCCGAGTCAAGTGCACAATTGGGTTTGACCAGCTGCACAAACGAAAGTGCGTACTTGCATACGTATAGTTTATAGATTTTTATTTAAGCATACATAGGATCGAAACGTATACGGATATGTATAAAAACCATAGTCGGCCGCGTGTGTTGGAAAATTGAAATACACAGCAGAAAGAGCTGGAGTGCGTGTATGAATGTGTACACACATAGGAGGGTCGAGTCGAAGGGGAAGCAATAAGCGAACTCGTACACACGTCGAAAGTCTGTTATATATACGTATACGTATCTGCGTTCGGTGGTTGTAGTAGTAGTAGTATATAAGGTAGGCGATAGGCGATAAGGGGGTGAGTGTGTCTATATATAGAGAATGGCGGGGGTGGAGAGGGGGAGAGAGGGAGCTTCATTAGAGGCAGTTTATTACTGCCTTTGAAGTTGCTCTCTCCCTCTCTCTCTTGCTCTCTCGCTCGTTCGTTCGCGTGTTGCCGTTAAGTCGGTGTGCGGCGCTCGATATCTCTGTAATATCTCTCCCCGTGAGTCCCGAGCGAGCGCGTGCTCTAATCTCGCTCGCGCGAGCGAGGAGAAGTTAATTGCTATCGCGTCACCTTTCGAAGCCGCAAGATCTCACCTATATATATAGCATATTACAGTATACGTATATATATGCAATATATATAACGCGGAGAAAATATATGCAGGACTTTCTTTCCAAGGCGCACGCGGGCGTGCGTGCGTGCAAGGCGTTTTTCGTCTTTTATTGTTTGCCAGAATTGCGCGCGCGGATATCTCTTTAAAGGCTCTGCGCGTGGATATGCATAGCGCGTAATAATGGTATTTAACGAAATAAAAATGAACAAAAAAAGAGGGGGAGAAAAAAAAGAAGCTGGCTTTAGGATGACACATCGTCGAGGCGAAAGTCGTCGTTTTACCTTTGACGCCTACATTATAAATGCCTCTCTCTCTCTCTCTCTCTGTTGTTAAAGCAAATTCACCGAGTGCGCGTGTGTACACACACATGCAACGCGGACACATTGTGTTTCCTTTGACGATACACATATACATACAAACACATACACATGCGGGGGCTAATCCCAAAAAAGCCGCACCACGTAATTATTCCTCTCTCGTCTCCTTTTTCTCTCTCTTCATCGTTCAATGTTATACATACATTCATGCACACATACACACATACACGCTCGGCTATTACCAAAGTTTCCATTCTTTGTCTTCGATAATTGCAAAATCCTCCGTGTTTAAAACTGTATATGTATGCGCGCGCTCGCGCTCGCAGATCAAAGAGAGAAAGAAGGAAAAAAACGAGCGAAATAATCGCGAACGACTCTCGGCTGCAGTATAGTATTTTCCTTTGCAATACACCATTCGATAGGTTAGACGCGCCCGTGTGCTATACGGGCAATTCGCTTAATTAAAATGAATGAAACTCTTGTGTATACGCGCGTATGCGTTTGCGTATATTTACACACATTTGTACACTCGAAAGAAACAGCGGCGAGCAGCTCGACGAATGCGTGTATACAAGCGCACAGACTCGGTATCGTTCCGCGCGCTATTCCCTTATGTTTATCATTAATTTTAATGAGCGGCTAATTATAATACCTTTCAGTGTAATCCGTTTTCGTCCTCGTCGTCGTCGGCTACACCTCTCGTCGCATAATATATCTGCAAGCACGGCTCGCAGGCTTATGAAATATTCAACTTTCTTATCGTTATCAATAAGCAACGTTATACCAATGTGCTACAGCCAGGCACCGTGAGCGTAATTACTTTACTTGTAGAACATGATCGACTGGGTCTGTATACGAGCTTACTACGTTGCAGAGCAGGAACGGAAAAGTGAGCGAGAGTCTGCTCTCCTATATGTACGTTATAACAATAGCTTACGTACGCTGCACGTGTGTGTGAATGTGTATAAGTGCAGTATGGCGAAAGTGCCAACTGGAACACTTGTATTTTTCAATAATGCTACTCTGTGCGCGCGGCATATGCTAACACGCGCGTAGACAGAGAGGTTTTTTTCTCTCTTGCCAGCGTAAAGCGTTTCGAAAAAGCAGCGCGCGCGCGGCTGAGCAGACGAGATAATGAGGGAGCACTTAAAGCACCGAGAGAGGGATGGAAGTTGCAATGTGGTACTTTTATCATTGGCTCGATCGCTCGCGCGCGCGCGGGCTCGCTCGGAGCTCAACTTGGCTAATTGAGAAAAAAGCCATAGTCTGTGCGCAGTGGCTGCTTTATACATACACATGTACATGTATACATCCACGTAAACTCTCTTTCTTTACGTGGGATAGCTACTGCTGCTGCTGCAATGGTGTAAGCGGGCTATAGGCTCTCTTAACGGGTCCCGGGCGCAGATTCTTGTCAGTGTCGCTTCGTTTACGCCATTTCCCTCCATTACCGATCGCACTACGGTCTTCTCTCGTCCACGGCTTTTGCTGCTGCTGCTTCTACAGTGGCTTACCGACAATCGCATTATCAGCCAACAAAGAGCTCGATTACACACTAATGCGACTAGAAATCCGCTCGCAGCCTCCTCTCTTTCCTTTTGGAATTTTCTCTCTCCCTCTCTTTCTCTCTCGAGGGCTCTCTACTTGAACATTTTTTATACGTAATACCAAATGCATTAGCACGACCCTTTGATCTCTTTATCTGTGTACGTAGGCAAGTGTATTTTTAATTCCTTCCGTAAGAGAAAATCAATGTATTCGAAAACGATTAAAAAAGCCATAATGCCGATCGATGATGTTTTTGTGAATGGAGGCAAGCCGCTGCTGTTGGTATTTTCGACACCCGCGCGAGTACACGAGCAACGAGCGTGCGAAAATTCGTTGCGCGATGACGAACTCGCTTATACATATGAAAATGGAACCATTACGGTGAACTTGCGCGTAGACTAGCTTTGTTGATATACACAAAAACGAGAGAAAAAGAGCTAGAGAGAGAGAGAGAGAGAGAGAGAGAGAGAGAGAGAGAGTTTGAGTTTGAGTTTGAGTTTGAGTTTTATTTTGAAACGGACCGTGGGGTAGAACCCCATGTGGCCCATAAGAACAAATATACAAAAGTA